CAGTGTTCTGCCTTTAATCTCACAATTCTGACTTTAAGAGATTAAAGTCAGAATTGTGAGATTAAAGGCAGAACACTGAGATTAAAGTCAGAATTCTGAGATTAAAGTCAGAACTTTAAAAAAATGTCAAAATCAGTTAACTTTTTTTCCCCAGTGGATCTAATCCTCTTCCTTAGAAGCATGACACACAGTTAATACCTGGTGTTTACTTTAGTTTGCATTATCAAAGGATGAGTTGCAAAAACCAACTTTGTTAATCTGACATTTCTACTTCAATATCATTTGCATATATTAAAATGTCCCTTCCAACTTCCCTTTAAAAAAAATCTTTGAACCATCTCATTCATACACTTTAATAAGTTAATTGTGGGCATAAATCTTATTTCAGTTTATTCTGGGTTTGATCTGTCAACCATGATATGATACGACAGATAATGATCCTTAATATAACCCAAGCAACCTCCTGTAGGGTGGTTTTATTTCCTGGAGTCACATAACTGTATTTTAAGTCAATTAATATTTGATGGTAGGACGGAGAGAGGGCCAAATCTGTCCATCAGATTAAAACGCAGGCCCTACCGCTGCATGTTTTGGCATGCAAAGAGCAAAGTCAAAAAAGTAAAGCTCTTTGCTCATGTCTGACCCTCACCAACTGTTGTGAGGAGTCATTACAACCAAAAGCTATTTGATTCCCCCATACAAGCTTCTAAAATAAGCAAGTTTAGTCATCCAAATAGAGAACTCAGTTCAGTCGCTGCTGCTTCATGTGTGCAAAAAGAAGACAAGCATTTCCATTTCCTAAAAGTTATCATATAATTCTTTTATTATATCTTTTTGTAGTTAATATCTTGATGAATTTTTAGAAACAGGTAGTGATAAAATGCTAATACCTAACACCTTTATAAATTTAAATAGACATTATGCAAGTTTTTACTGAAATATATCTTAAAGTTGCCTTTTTATTTGATCCTTTACAACTAAAACATGGTTTGAAGAGCAGACTGACACCTCAGTAGTTCAGCGCCGATAGATCTATAAGCCTGTAGCCTGTTTTCCTTAATTTACTTTGGGTTAGAAGTTCCTGCGCTGTTCGGCAGATGTGATTTTTCTATACATTAGACTATAATTACTTATAATGATCCCCAACTTGTAAACAAACAAGTTATATTTTAAGGGGATTTTTTCTTTTTTAAATCTGCACTTTCTCAAACCATTTTATGCCTCCTTAACAGAGGACAGTCTTCCCTCTCAAAAGCCACTTCTTGATCATTCTTTGGCTTATTTTTCTGGCCAGCATTGTGGACAATGATGGTGCTTTTGCTTTAATGAGTGGAAGTGCTTGGAGGAAATAATTATTCGTCAAGCATGTTGCTTCAGGTCTATTTTGATTCAAAATTTAAAGCTAAATCCTTCCACATGTTGTTAGTTAATTTATCCTCCATCTTTAGTCAGAAAGACTCTTTTTTAAAACAGACGTCAACAATGTCAGCTGAAGGTCCGTTGCAGGATTTAAGAGCGGTGAGTCAGCCAAATATCTATAATCCTTACTTTATCAAACTTTAGTGATCACATATTTTCATTAACGTAAAAGATAAAGTGAGGACAGCTTACCTGTCTTGTGAACAGGCGCTTGAAGCCTATATATTACTCGCTCCTTGTGGCCAATCACTGGCTTGTTCTAGCTGCAGGTGGAACTCTGTGGGGATCAGGATATCTGCAAAAGAAAGCAAATTGTTTTTAGTTTCATCCCAGAAGTTTAAGCCAACAGCGGAATCTTTTATATAAATCCTTTTAGGCCATAATTTATAGATATTTTGTACACAACAAAACTTCATTCCCAAAATGCTGCCCCTCCCTAACCTGTTGCTGCACACAGCTGCTCAGCTGGCTGAAAAAAAAAAGTTTTCTTTAGCTATAAAAAAAATACAGATTTGGCTATTTGAAAAAAATGTGTCTCAATAACATTGTATTATTATTTAATAAGATTATTCTACCATAAGCATTTTTATGCGATCTGCAAGTCTTGATTTCTTGATCCAAAATCAGTTCTTTGAAATATGAAAAATAACAGCCTCCTATTTCGAAAAAAAAATACACACTGTGTGTCTATGCTGGATCTTCACTCTACCCTCCCCCTTGAATGCTGCATGACACACTCCAAAGGTCACAGTCACAGGAATGCTTGAAGGACAGAGGGAGTGAAGCCAACACCTTGTCCCTCATTCATCTAAAGCCATGTAAGCAGAAGTTTGGTTACTATTCCCTATTTCTGTAAACAGTTATAGAAATCCAACTGTAAAGACAGAATCCTACGCTGAAGAAAAGGACACTCTGCTGTCCACGTTAGAAAGTGAAATGATCATTATTCAGTTTTCATCCTCAACTATTAAGTGAAATAAAACCAAATAATACTTTTCATGTTGTAAAACGTTACAGACCAAGATTTGTATTAAAGTGTTAAACAGATTTGTCATTATAACAGTTAAGTTAGAGGGAGCTGGGGTGTCTGCAAGTGCATCACACAGACTTCACTCTAAACTCAGTTTGAGGCTTTCAAATACGCCGCTCTGTGGAGCTGGAGCAGCACCCAAGTGGTGACCTTGTCTACTGATCTTGGACCGGTGAAAGGTTAATTGCAAAAGTGGATTATTCCTTTAGATCACTGATCCCAATCCTGCTCCAGTGGGCACGATGACTTACAGAGTTCAATGCATGAAAATCAAGACGAATGACTGGATATATTTAAAACCTACACAGAGTTTTATATATATATATATATATATATATATATATATATATATATATATATATATATATATCTGCAATTGCTGAGGGTTTTAATTATTCTCATGNCCTGCAATTGCTGAGGGTTTTAATTATTCTCATGAATGGAAAACTGCAGTAATTAGGTAGAGATGGATGTCAATATCTGTGTAAACTAAAGCAGATCCTTTCATTTTTGTCTTTATCAGCATGTTCATATTTTTACATTTATAATTGAACAGTTTCCAGAAGTGTTTGATGGGGGGAGTTAAGGGATTAACCATTAGACAGACTGACAGAGCAAACTGGTGAATTAGCATAGAGATCACATGAGAGGATTGTAAGGGAAGACAGGAAGCATGTGCCGCAAATTATTACACAATTTCTGCAACTACTTATTGAGCGGCTTGTGCCCCTTAGCCCAATAACACGGTCAGGGGGAACTTAGACATTTACCGGGCGGGTCGTGCACGCACATCAGGCAATCAATCAAGCATGCTCAGAATAAAAAAAATAACAAAAACAATAATATTGCCTCAAATAATAAACAACCTTGTAGTGTAGGACGTTGTACTTACTGGCAGATGGAGAAGCATTTCTGTTTTATTCAGTCTGAAGTCAGTCAAGTCTGTTTGATTGGAAAGTCGGTTGGACCGCTCTGCTTCCTTTTCACATCACGTCTCGTTTAAATCATCCCGCAGGATGATAGCAACGGTAACCGGCGACACGGCTGCTCGCTCCTGGACTCTGGCGATATCAATTCCCGTTTAGGCTTCTACAACTAGGCTGTATTTGAATATTAACGTCAAGGCTAGAAAAAAATAACAACTTCCGGTTAGAGGAATTAAAAGTAAAACTATTTTTTTATTTTATTTTATTTATTTTTTTTTGCGACATTTCCTAAATTGTTAACAATTTAGCAACTTTTCCTAAATTGGTGAACTTACACTTAGAGTGAGTTTATATTTATAGTAAAAAATGATCAAGAATTGTGTGTGAAGAACTAAAACTAAAAGTAACTTTATTTTGTAAACTCAGCGGTCAAATTTCCGGTGTCTTCCCAGCTTCCTCCTGCTAGCTTGATGGACTAATGACGCAGCCTCTGTCTCGTGCTCTTTTCTCCTCCCTCTGCCCCAGTCTGCGTCCGCTGTTTCTCCGTTACGTCGGTCGACACCCCCACTACCGTCATCAGCAGCGTTAAAACAAGGGTCTGCAACCCCAAAATAAAATAAATTCAATCAATTCAGCTTTCATCATGACGTTGCCTAGGTAACTAATTCATATGCGGTGCAGCCCACTAACCAGCACTGTTTCACCTCACCTCAGACATGATTGATGCGGATTTACACATAGTGAGTTAACAGTGTATTTTAAATGTTATTAGGTATATATAAATCCTTGCTAATGCTTTAAAAAATCAAAATACTTGAGTGTTATAAAGAGATCCAACTGCATCTCATGTGGGACTCCACTATGGAAAATGTCATGCAGCTGGTCTTATGACAGTGACCGACATCAGCACTAATTGGAAAGAGTACAAGAAAGAATGGTTCACAAGTTCACTGAAATTAGGTGAAAAGTAATGAATAAATGCAGTAAGTTGATTATTTGTGGTTTTATTTCTCTCTGTTCCAACTTGTAGACCTCAGCATCTAAGCATAAGTTCCAATATGACAGCTGGTGCGTAAAAAAAGAGCAAAGTTGACCAAACAAATATGGTGTTCAACCATCAACGTTGACTCACGCGCTTTGAATAAGGGCAGATTTTTTTTCAAACTATAAGTTGGGTAAGTGTAGGCTTTACCCCCCCTCCTCCATTATCTGCTTCTAAATATAGCCCAGTCCCGTTAGTTCTAGTGTGGTCGGAACCGACGCGGTCACGCTTCCTCTGTCGCTGTGTCGGAGCTGTTGGATCTTTGTGTGGTCACATGCGCGCGGCGGCGGGGCTCAAGACTCAGTGGAGAGAGAGAGGGAGAAAAAAAAAAAAAAAAACTCCCGGTGCTGTCAGCGCGACCTTGAACAAGGTCGTTCACTCTGTGCTGCAGACGCTGCAACTCTGCGGGGCTGCATCACAGCCTTCTGCTGCAGAGTCGGCATTATCCCGAGCGAGAAAGCCGTCACGCTGAAGAATTCACCGCGTGAAGAAAAAAAGAAAAAAAAAAAACACGCGTATATTAAGTATGATTTACTAGTTTGTGATCTTTTCTTAAAAAAATAAAAAATAAAAAAATCTGAGCATGTGTATCATATGGTGAGTTATGGTGAAGGTGTAATGAAGGCGTGGTGGATGCCAGCTGGGGTCCCAATGGTGCTCCTTATTGCAGGTCATGACCTCAGACAGGTGTAGACTCATGTGGTTTATAAATACCAGGGAACCATTGTGCCTGTAGTAAACAGACAAATATGGTGTTAGAGAAAACAGCAGAAAACCAATGTTCTCCTTTATACCAAACATCCTCACAGTGAACTATAAAAATGAATTGTGAAGGAAATTACATTTTATTAATTCATTTTACTTAAATCCAAGAACAGTTATTTCATTTTTTTTCTAAATGAAATCCATAATGGTACAATTCAAATTATTCACTTAGCTTAGGGGAGTTTTGGGAGAACACCAGCTTGTTTTTTTGTGTTTGTGGTTGTGATCATATCATATCTTACTTTTTTAGGGAAAGAAATGTTCATGTCTACCAGGACGTTTCCATATAAACCATCTAATACCATCTGTGAATGCATTTAGGACTCCATGAATATATCAGATCAGAGATCATATTTTGCCATGTTTAAAAAAAACAAAACGTGTTTCACCCATGTACTTTTCATATTGTATGATATAGGTAATTATAGGAAATATTACATAAGAAACTGATTATAATAGGTAAAAAATTCAAAGTGGTTATTTTAATCAGCATTTAAAGTTGCTGATAGGATATATATTATAAAGTAGTAAGCCATATGGAAGAATTAACGCTGGTCGAAATGGAACTGCATGATACCGCTTCACTAGACTGGTTAAAAATGACCTATTCTACAAAGGTGCTTTTGCCTTTCAACATTTTCTATTGCTATTTTGTCCCCATAATACTACATTTCCTACTTGTGCAATTAAAATATTGCATATTAGTTGTATATTTGTTTACAATTCAGTAATTCATTCTGATAAAAAGCCTCAAAATCTTCAAATATTACATTGTTTTTATTAAATCCTGCATTTATTTCTAAATTCATTTTACCTTCTTTCTATTCATTGAGGTTCTATTGCCTGTTTTGCCCATTTGCCTTCAACAAAAATAACAGAAATTATGAACCCTGATTCAACCACATTTTCTTAAAGCAGGCTAAAATAGAAAGAAATTACTCTAAATCTGCTATTGTCAAAGCCAAAGAAAAACATTCATAATTAATTTCAAATATCCTTTTTGTACTTGAAAACATTTTGATTATTACAAATGCGCTTACTCATGATAATTAGGAATCATTCATAGGTTTCGTTGCTCAGCAAATTTCAGTAATAACACAACTCCAGCTATCAGTAGCGCTAATGCTGATCCCTGTTCAGGGAAAATATGCATAACTTACGTTAACATGTTAGATTCAAACTGTTTTTCATTATATCACTGACACTCTGTGCATTTATCTCAAACCAATTTGTCTTTTTTTACTACTGATGTTCATTTTTTAAATGTATTGGATAAACCTTTGAACTCAAATGATTTATACACACAGATTTTTTATTTATTTTTTTTCAAATTGACCTAAATCAAAAGAAGGTAATGTTTAAACCAGTACATTAATGATAATATATAAGCTGGTTTTAATTGCTGCAGAATGATAACTAGAAATGAGCACAAAAAAAATCATCAATACTTATTACATGATAAAAATGCCTAAATAAATCTTAGCTGTGTCTTACTTTGAAGCATTTATGTATGAGTTAAGTTGTAATAATTACCCATAAGGTCAAAGTCTACTATTCTTTTTCTGACCTATGGTCAGAGATAATGTCCTTAGGTTAATGAGTGCTACGTTGGCAAAATAACTAACTTATTCACTGTATAGATGTCTTGTTGATTCTATATCTTGGTTAGTAATGTACCGTTACAAGAATTTTTTATAAAAAGGGTCATTTCATGGAAACTCTAGGTATATCTTAATAGAAAGGAAGACTGCAGTTTATATCTTGGGATATCTGCAGTAGGATATAAACACCATATTTGGATCTAAACTGAGCACGGATATTCCCATTGAATTCAGGTCAGGAGTGTGCCTTGGCACTTCAGACTCTGCCCACCATTCGTCCTCTAGTGGCAGCAGGCGCAGGCTGCAGTGGATGACGTTATAGCAGCTGAGAGTGTGTCCTCCAGTAAAAGGTCACCCACTGCCTTTGCACATCATCTCTCCGTCCTGGATTCTTGGTTGCAATCCTTCAACATTTCCTCTTCTGTGTCCTTCAGGACAGTGTCAGGTTTCTAAAGGCTAGATTATTTTAAAAGCACTAATTTGTTTAGTTGGCAAATCCGAGAGTGCAGGGATTAGTGTTAGTGTTGTATTAAACAGTCTACTATCCAACGAATAAGATGAATAAAAATCCTTAATCAGAAGGTCAACAAAAAATAAAAATCAGTCCAATACCAAAAGCACTGAAGGGCTGCATCTTTTCTGCCATCTGCTGGTTGTCTTCAAATACACACAAATCAACATTTATTTTCTTGGAAAACCAGTTGTACAGAAATATCTTTATGAGCATTTGCTTGTTATGCCATTTAAAATTAACCATCTGATAAGTTTCCACAGCAGTGCTTTTCTTCGGTGCCTGTTTCAGGCTGAATCAAGCTAAAGTTTCCGGCAGAGTATCACTTACCAGGATCACCTGAAAAGCTTCAACACAGCTTAAAACGCCCAACTGACGACTGCAGGCGCATCACACAAGATAGAATGTCCTTTTCTGCAACCATATTCCTGACCTGGTCTTAAAATGTTTAGAAGTCCTTCAATTTTTAAAAGATTTCCACCTATAGAACTGAAACGGGTGGAAATATCAGATTACTGATAACAAAAACACACAATGCTCAGGAAAAGTGTTTTATTTTCACACATTATTGCAACAATGAATTAAGATGTATTTAATGGGAATTTATGCAATAAATGAGGATAAATTATTGTATTTTTTAAATCAAGTGAAAGGAACATAAATGGTTATTTAAATTCCAGCTGCAAGTCTTTGAAGGTAAACCTCTTCCAGTTTTTTTTTTCTTCACATCTGGACAAAGAAACTTTCCCTGTTCTTTAAAAAAAAATAACAGTCAGAAACTTTAGTATATGATGCATTACTGCTAATGCTAAAATAAAAAATGAAGGTAGATTTTTTGCAGTGCAGTTTAACAGCAATACTGACTGTAGCAGTGGATGCAGAGCTCCTGTGAAAAGTTATTTTTAGGTATTTTTAGAAACTCTCAATTGGAATGAAGTCTCAACATTGATCTAAAACTATTCCACTGCTGCTCTCTTTGTATGTAGAGGATTTTTATCTTACTGAAAGGTGAACCTCAAACCAAATATAGAGAACTTTTCATATTCTGACAAAAATGACCTAATTTTTTTGTTTGTGTCAATCAGCATTTGTGAACTTATTGGCTTAAAACCATTGGAGGTCAGAAAAAAAAGATAAAAAATGACTTCTTTTTAGAAAAGGTCTTTAATGTATTTATGCACAATAGCAACATTAATAAATTCCACCACCAAATATGCAAATGATATCTGCATTATATTTTTACAAATTAGTTAGGTGCCAACATGTAAACCCTCTGAAATTGTTGGTATGGACTCAATGGTTGTTGTCTCAGGTAAGAGCAAAGTTTCCTCCAAGTTAAGCTTGACGCTGCAGCAGCAAGTTCCTGACACCGATTTGGTTGAAATATATAGATTAGTTAAAAAAAAAAAGAAGAAAAACACAGCAATAGTGCAATACCGTGTTAGGCCAGTAGAGAGCAGTATGTCCTTACAAAGATGTACGGTAGTACTTATGGCAACTTAATCTTTTCATCTGCTTTGATTGTTGCATACCCACTCACATGCAAGGAGAAAAGTTATATAGCAAACCACACAGAGGTTTATAAGGCATGAGCACCGTGTCTCCATCTGAGCTGACAGTCTACAGGCAGCACTTGCATACAAAGTAAGTGCTACAACTCCTGTTTGTAGTCTCATGAGTTGGTAGTGCTCTCATTCAGGAGGCTTCTTTGGGACATCTGGAACAGGTGTTGTGTCTCCGTTGGGCTGCTTTTTGTTTCTGGTGGAGTAGTTGGTTTTAGAGCTTCTTCTATGAGTAGGCCGCCTATGTCGTCTCCTCTTTGCATGACGAGAGTTGGGTGGTTTTGATTCCTGCACAGGTTCCAAATCCACTTTGCCACTCTGAGCATCTGACGACTCATCAATGAAGGCAAAGTTCTCCGCCAAGAAGTCCAGAGGCTGTGGGAGGAGGGAGTCCGGAGGAGCCTCTGTAGCAGGAACCCGGTCAGTCTGAGTGGCCTGAGAGTCTGTTTCTGTTTCCGATCCAGATTCTGATTCAGAAGATGAATAGGAGGAGGAGTACGATTCAGATTCGGTCTGACTCTCACGAAGCTCTCCCTTCTCTCCTTTGGCCCCATTAGCAGAGCGGCTGTGACCGTGGCTGCGATGGCGGTGCTTCCTCCGCCGACGCTTGAAATGGTCATCCAAGTTTCCTGGAATGCGAAAGTCCACAGACATGTTCTGGATGTTCTGGGTCCAGTCTGTAGCATGGGCTCTCAGTTCCTCCATCTAAAATTAGAACATGATAATCACATTCTCCAGTTTATCTCCTCTTTAGAACAGAAACATAGATGTACAAGAACCAGGTAAAACAACTGAGAAAGAAAGTACCTCAGCCCTCGTCTTCTTTGATAGAACCCGGAGCCAGTTAGCGATCATTGACAGGATGGAAGCAAAGTATGCAAGACCCAGGAGGATCCAAAACCAAACCAAAGGCTTATACCACAACTCCGGCAACAGGTTTTCATTAATATTTTTCATAGATTCACCTCCCCCTTCGATACAAATACAAAGTGTAAAAAAAGGAAAAGTTAATGGTTATCCATCCATCCATCCATCCATCCATCCATCCATCCATCCATCCATCCATCCATCCATCCATCCATCCATCCATCCATCCATCCATATTTGTTTAGAACACAAATCAATCAATAATTCGTTTCTCACTCAAAACATTTGAATAATTAATGATACCTATTCTAAATAAGCTAACTTAATGTTTTACAACTGACATGTATTTATGGATGACTAATTAAGTCTTATGTGCTAAGATCAATGATTTTAGTAAAGTGGCAAAAATATGTAGAATAGAACAAAGGAAAAAAAAGCCATCGTTCACTTTTGGGTCATTGATTTGCATCTGTCTAGGAATCTGTTAAAACTGGGCCTCCAGATGTTTAAAAACATCAGTGCTCCAGGTACAGGGTGCTCTATTACAAGCCACCAGAAAAGACCTCTGGATAGGTATTGAAAGTGTTTTCAGAAAAACTGAAGGAAACGTCCAGTTGCCTCCGATTTAAGCCTTTTTTGTGGTAAACTTGTGCTTAAGCAACTTTTTGCTGAGGGACATTGTCCATTTGCAAGAGCCTTTATAAACCATGTTTAAAATTGCTAGCTTACATCTTAAGATGCTGCTTGAAACCTCCATATAACAAAATACATTAGAGGCAAAAGTGGAGCTTTCGAGAAAATATGCTTGGTTAGATTCTCAGTAATCCAAGACATGACAGTTCTAAGTGCTTAAGTAGAAGACAACTGAGGAAGTGTTTTGGAAATGCTTCAGAAATCAATAAAATAAGCATTTTCCCTCTACTTAAAGAAGCAATAAGTAATTATGATACCTAGTGTTTCTAATCTGAACAAAGCACATAAATCAGGTAAAATAATTATTGAACACGCCATTATTTTTCTTAATAAATATATTTTTAGGGGTCCTGTTAACATGACATCTTCATCGGATGTCTGTAACAATCCACACATGCAAAGAAATCATAGATGTTCATAAATTAAGTTATGTGTGATAATGTGGAGTGGAACAGGGAAAAGGTATTGAACATCTGCAGACATTGAGGTCCAGAAAGGCATGGAAAGCCTGAAATCTCTCAGTAATTAGAAAGCCATTTTCAGTGCAAATTAATATCAACTGGTTAAAGGGAAACACCATTTATTTTTACATTGTGCCCTTGGTTTTTACGTTATTACATCATGTTCTACTCACCCATATAAGTTTTGTGTCATTTGGAGCTGTTCTAAAGATATTCCATTATGTTATATCCAAGTAACGTCTTCGTATGGGCAACGACTTGAAGGCACAAACTAAACTGTTTGTTGGGATCCTGAGGCTTTGCCCACCAGAGGGCGCCGAGGATCCTCTTCTGTTTTATGTTTTCTGTTAGGGACTGGGGTTACTGTTGGGATCTGGAGATCTACCATCTGTCTCCAGCAGAGAGCGCTGTGGGTCTCCTGGGCTGGAGCCTCCAGCACACCTGAAGCTCATCAGGAGACCTTCCTACATAAGCAGCAGTCAGACCTTCCTTCGACGCCCCAGTGTTGACCAAGTTTGGTTAGCAAACCTAAGCCTCTGTAAACATAGTGAATCACAGTAGACTCTAGAAAGGAACTGGATTCTAACCTGCCTCTGTCTTCTTTACTCACAGAAAACCTGACCGAAGTCTGAAGCTCTGGATGAGCTTTACCTGGAAACCTGCCTGTTTGCCCAAGGAAGCCAAACCTGAAGGTCTAAGTCTGGATTCCTCCTTCAGCTCTCAGGGAAGAGCTAGGAAGCTAAACCTGAAGATCTTAGTCTGGATTCCTCCTTCAGCTCTCAGGGAAGAGCTAGGAAGCTAAACCTGAAGACCTCAGTCTGGATTCCTCCCTCAGCTCTCAGGGAAGAGCTAGGAACAAAACCCACGTCAGAGTCTCACTAACCAGAAGCTAGACGCTGCTGCTGCTGAGCTCTCTGCTACTTCCACAATCTCTGGACCCAACCGGTTCCCCATCTCAAGGATCTGTCAGAACCTCTTCAACGTACATTCAGAAATTACTCACTCGTCAAACCATCTAACTGCCTGGCTAATCAAACTCTCATCCCTTCAGATATCTGTGAAACCAGTCCCGGACCTGTACCAGAACCAGTCCATATTACTCTGTGTGTTTCCTCCTAAATAAACATTGTTAAATTTTCCTCTGTCTCCAGTTTGGTGTTCTGCTTGTGGGTTAAGTCCATTAGCCAATCATGACACTGTTCATAATTTATTCTTTATGGTACGCCAGCATTCATAACATGTAGGCGAATCACTGTCCCCCAGACATCCGCGGATATATTGTTTATATTTATATCTTTTAAAAACGAAGTGGCGCGTGTATGACGTCATCTGTGTACGCCGGCTACCGTTCATTCTTCCTGTCTGCTGAACTGCTGCTAGTTTTACTCACATGCGTGGAAGATGTCTAGTGCTACTACGACAGATGATCTCGTTCTCGAAATGGAATTGAACGATTTATATTAGCTAGCCGAATGAATAGAAGGGGTAGAGTGTAGCCGCCTGCGGCCCTGGCTGCGTGTCACAATTCCAGTCCACCGCACGGATGACATCATACACACTCCGCTTACTTTTAAAAAGATATGAATATAAGAAATATAACCGCGGATGTCTGGGGGACAGTGTTTCGCCTACATGTAATGAATGCTGGCGTACCATAAATTATAAATTATGAACTGTTTAGTTTGTGCCTTCAAGTCGTTGCCCATAGGAAGACATTACTTGGATATAACCTGACCGAATATCTTCAGAACAGCTCCAAATGACACAAAACTCATATGGGTGAGTAGAACATGATGTAATGATGAAAAATCAAGGGCACAATGTAAAAAAAAAAAACGGCATTTCCCTTTAAGTCTCAAATGATGGCCTACAAAAAGGTGTCTCTGGTATCACAAAAGAAACATCTCATGATGGGTAAAAGTATAGAGCTTTCTCAGAATCTTCACAACCTTATTGTTGCAAATAATGATGGCCTTGGTTCAAGTAGGATTTCTAAACTTTTGAATGTTTCAGTGAGCATTGTTGAGACCATAATCCGGAAGTGGAAAAGACATCATTTCACCATAAACCGACCACGATCAGGTGCTCCTCCCAAGATTTCTGACAGAGGAGTTAAAATAATTATCAGAAGAGTTGTCCAAGAGCCAAAGGCTGATTGTGGAGAGCCATGGCCTGTATGCACACTCACAACACAAGACTCCACTGATGAAGAAAAAGACTGTTGAAGCTCATTTAAAGTTTGCTGCACAACATTTAGACAAGCCTGTGAAATACTGGGTGTATATAGTCTGGTCAGATGAGGCCAAAATTCAAGTGTTTGGATGCCATAATACACATCATGTTTGGAGGAAAAATGGCAATGCACATCACCCCATAAACAGCACACCAAAAGTGACGTTTGGAGGTGAGAACATCATGGCGTGGGGCTGTTTTTCAGCAAATGGTACTGGAAAACTTCAAATAATTAAAGAAGGATTGATGAAAAAATGTACAGAGGCATTCCTGATAAAAATCTGCTGCCATCTGCCTGGATAATGAAGATGAAACATGAATGGACATTTCAGCTAGAAAATGACCCCAAACACACAGGCAAGGAAACTCTCAATTTTTTTCAGAGAACAAAAAATAAAGCTGCCACAATGGCACTGCCAATAACCTGACTTGAATCCAATAGAAAATCTCTGGAAAGAACTAAAATGTTACCAACATCTGGTTAAAATGTCACATCAATATCATCTCTAGAAATCTATTTTGTGTACAAAGGGTTTTAAACAATGCCGAAGCTTTCAAGGTACTGATGTAGAACTGATGCAGGAACTTTGTAGGTACTTCTGGTTCTCTTCTCTTCTCCTGTAGACTTTTACAAACATAAAATACCAAATGCTTCACTCTATTTTTTGACATCTCTGGGAGCTCTCATATGATTGGCAACACACTGCACATGATTAGTTTTTGACCATATGTTGATAATTTTAATAGAGGACCAACTGTTTATAGGTAATGTTAATTCCATCCTAAAAAACAAGAGATGCCAATTATTTTAGGCTTGTTTTACAGTCTTACCTATTGCTTCTTTATATATTAGGATCTGTTAAGAAATACCAGGTTAAGTTGGTACTGATTGTTTACCTGCAACATAATCACCAAAGCCCACTGTGGTCAGCGTGATAACCACAAAATAGGCAGACTCAAGAAGAGACCAGTTCTCCACCTCTTGGAAAACCAAAGTTGGCACAGCAAGGAAGAGCAAAACACCCAGCAGGATGGACAGGACTGCTGAGATCACACGCACAATGGTGGGACTGATCCGCCATTTCTGTCAAGAAAGTGATACAATTCATTATAAGAGTAAAGGGGAAAAAAGGAAATATAGTGAAGTGAAATAAAGTAGCCACTATGAAAGCTTCTGACCAGGAAGAGTTTCTCTATTTTTCCGACAGTTTTCTGTAGACCAGTACCCAGGTGGTCACCAACCCCAGCAAGCAGGATGCCAAACATTGGGATTCCAACCAAGGCATAGACGATGCAGAAAAGCTTCCCTCCATCTGACTTGGGAGAGATGTTTCCATAGCCTGTACATATCAAGTCAGAGGTGAAGAAGCAGTTTTTTTAATACAGGTGAACACATTTACAAAATACAATGTCTAAACGAGGCATCTTTTAGCAGGCACCTACCGATGGTGGTCATGATTGTCCCTGAGAAAAAAAGAGCACTCGCTATATCCCAGTTGGTGATAAAGGTTTCATTTAGTATAGCAGCTTCTGCAGACACTCCAGCACCCACAGCGTCAAGCACCTTCTGAGAAGGGGAAAAAGGAGAAGGCATTAAGGTGAAGGTGTATTGAAGACTGCAAAGTAAATATATAGAGAGTAAGAAAAGTAGGCAGTAGAAAAAGAACATTAATAACTCTGTTTTCTGCAAAGAAAACCAGGCAGCTCTTAAGATCTTTCTCCTTGCTTCAGTTTCATGCTTTCTACTGCTAGGTAAATACATTACTAAACTTCAGATTCATGCAAGTCGTACAAATGAACATAGTCCATGCACACATCATTAAAAATAATATTTTTATAGACAGAATAGTCTCTGATCGTTTGATCTTCTCTGCTAGAGAATGCCTGTCATCAGTATTATCTTCTTTAGCACATGTCACACTCTAAAGACATATAATAAATAGATGCATATGTTATTTTAAAGTGTACAAAGTGGCTAAAAATGCAACATAAATGGGGGTAAAGTGATAACATCAGAGCAGTGTGCTCTTTTTAAATGAAACAATTAAACAAAAGTTGTATTTATACAACAGCAACAAGTCCTTACTTGATGATGCCCTATTGGCGGGATATAAACATCAGTTTGATGCCCCTTTTATCAATCCACAAGACTTCAAAAAAATAAAATTTAAGAAATACAGTCAACAATTTCCTTTCTTGATTATAATCACAGCAGCAGATATGTCAAAAATAGATTATCCCTAACCATGCACCAAAACCAAAGCATCACTCTTTGACATCGATTACATTTTAACAGGAAATCCTTAGATCTGCTGCATAGATCTATGTGTCTTAAATTTAACAACACACTAAGGCAAAACTTTGACAGAACCAATTAAATGTTGAGTATCTAACATGTGGTTCACTGAAACTTGACACACAGTACCAACGTGGGGCAGGGATCAACATCTGAGGAATAACTGTGCGAGGGCAGCCAGCTCAACCATAAATAAAAGGACAGCGGTTCTTATGTAAGCTGTCATTACCTGTATAGTCCTGTTGAGTAACTGTTCTAGACATATATTTCAAAACAGGGTCATAGAAATAATCTCTTGACCTGTTTGTTTCTTAAATTATTTCTAATTCACTTGAAATAAAGTTTTATTCTTATCCTGCACATAAATGGACATTTGAAATTGTGATAATGAAATAATTTAGCAAATCCCTGCTAGTATACCATGAAATAATGTCAGTAAATGTAATTTTCAGGACATAAAAATATGATTTAAACAACAGTAAAATAAGGGACGTAGAGCAATTTTCACAATGCAATTGCTTTCTAGTTTTTCCATAAGATTTTTTTCTATTTATATTCAACTTGTAAGAAAAACCAGTTGCCAAGTCTTACTTAACATTATAAACAATTGAAACTAACAACAACATTTTGCTGCATTGAAATCAGAGGCCAAGTGACCTAAATTGCATGTGCTAAAATCTGAATGTCATTACTGATACCCCTACATCTGTCCTGGCCTCAGCTTACATAACCCACCCGGGTCCATTATCTCTGAGCTCGATTAACAGTTGAAATACTGAACTGTAATTTTTAGAGACCACTACAGGTCCCTAGGATAGTGTTTAAGTTTTGGCCATTGGTAACCTTTAAAATAACTCTTATTTTACTTTATAGAAGCCACACATACAGTTGTTCCACACTTGAGGATGCCTTCAGGAAATAGATCTCAAAAAATGCACTGACCACTTATATGCTGAAGTTCAATGATATTATATTGGCAAGCATCTGGCAGGAAAAAGAAATAGCATAGTAGCACCAAGATGTACGGAAAATTAAAAAATCAAAGATAAATACAATACTTCCATTCAAACATCAAAACCCCTTTTAATTTTGCTGGACAGCTATATTAGGGATGGGGGGATACATACTTCCTAAAAGAAATCCTCAAGACATCAGCTTCCTCTTTTCTAAGAGGAAGTTACAAAGTATATTTTTTGGAACTTTGAGCAAAGCTAACCGCTTCTAACTCGGTTTTGCCTATTTCTTTTTCAAAAGGAATAGTTTCTCTAAATAGCCTAAATCTAACCCCTGGATGATGTAACTGCTTTCGCTAAATATTCCCCAGAACATCTTTAAAGCATCCCTCCTGGTCAACTCAAACTTCTTCTGGTGATGTATTCCTATACTTAACATATTCATATTCCCCTGACCTGACATAGCTTCTTTCTTCTTTTCGTCAGAGGTTGTGATCTGATCTGATTTCTTCTGGTGACTTATTCCTATTCTAACCCTGAAAACGATAAAATCTTCATCCCCTGCCCTGAGACAACGTTTATTTCTTCTTCCATCTTCCTTCCTTCCTGATGCGGTTAAGCTGGGGCGCCTGTCTTCGGCAATGAAGGATCTAAGCGGGCGTCAGAGTGCGGATCTGAATTGAAAAGCCAAAGCTTGTCACTTTTAACCAGTCCAGAAAACAAGGAACTCTACCTGGCCAATAGGACACTGTTTTACCATGTAGGGTCTTTGAAGGTCCAGGCTCATTGTCAAGGCCAGACAAACCCTCATCCTACAACCAGTCCAGCCTTAGCAATCATCAGTCCATAATTCTTCCCTTCATATATGAATAGTGTACACCTCATTTAAAAATTATTGTTTTCAACAAAACCAGCTTTCCATCATCTTCTTAATAAACAAACATAACCAATACATATTGAATTCATAGCAGTGAGTCTATTAAATGTCCTCTGGAATCTGCCTCACCTTCATGACCATTTTATCTTATTATCGCCTTTCATATCTAATCTGTCAAGCATACTTCCTTTCAGACTCCTGGCTGTGGCTACACAGGAAGTGCTGCTGTGACCGGAGGACAAACACTTCTTCCTTTTGCTCCAGTCATTTGTAATGTTGGCTGATAATGCTTCACTCAGGTTCACAATTTATTTACTTATGAGGATTACTTTAATACTTCTTTGGGGGGAAACTAGATTTGGCTGGGATGAACTCCATATTATACTTAAGATCCTGGCCATGGAGTTCATGCTGGATCAGGCCGCAGCAATCTGTAGAACCTGTTATGGGTTCCGTCCTGTCTGACAATAATTAAAATCCAAATCCCATAAAAGGGTATATATATACATATTAAAAAACGCCATCTGAACATCCACCCTAATTACTACATTGTTACTACCTCGACGCCAGAGTGTTTGCCAGTTCTGGGTACTCTAGCCAAGCTGAGTTTTGCTGAGTCAAACTGAGTTTTTGTCACCTGAGTCTTAACCTTGTTTTTTTGTCTTTGCCTCTCGGCAGGAAGTCATCCTGCGAACTGAATTTTTTGGAACTTCTACCCCTGGAAGGATTGTCTGAGCGTCAAACTGTGCTGAGGAATAAAGCAGGTGGTTTGGATCAACTTTTCCCCAAGGATTGTTTGGGCTTCACACTGTGCAGGGGATTCATCTCCATAAGAAACCATTCAAGTACCATAGGAAATCTAAATGGCAGTCAGCTCCTCCGTTCCTCAAGGAAACACCTCAACCTGGGTAAACCCTGTCCACCCTCCAACAAACAAGTCTATTACTGGAACAACCCACACCAACTGGATTCAAAGAAAGACACCGTTTCTGGAAAAATGAGTCCTGTTGCCTTTATTCCCTTTAACAATCGAAACACAAATTTCCCTCTGAGCCTGAACTAACCGCAGGATCTTCCCCTTCATGTTTCAGTCCCGGTTTGCCAGTGTTCAGAGTAGCACTGGACCCTTCTCTACCAGTTCATAATAAACCTGTTAAACCTTCCCCTGGTCTCTCTATTTGATTTTCTGCATGTAGGTCAGATCTTTGGATAAAATCATGACATATATAGGGCACTATATAGTGATTACGCCATTTTAAATGAGTGTCTGAATATCTAGTGGATGAAAAAGTAGTGGACTCAAAATTTACCACAATGCACCTTGAAAAGTAGTGATCATCCATGGTCACTAGATGAGCAGATATATCCCAGATTGCTTTGCGAGAGCTCTCCTCACAGAGCATCATGGGATTTGTTGTGGCGCCAACAAATAACAAAGATGGGGCAGGGGACCATGTGGGTAGGCGGAGTTACGTGACCAATGGGGAGCAAAAAGTAGTGATCATCTGTCCAAACGGTCAGTTAGCTGAGTTCAAAATAAAGTCCACTATATAGTCCCAAATCTATATAGTGATTGAGAGATTTAGGGTTTAGGGCGGACGTCCGGACACAGCCCCAGTCTCTTGTTATAATGACTAACTTCAACAGTTTTAGGTAGAAATACGATTATACTGGTTATCTGTGACTTTCAGTCTGGCTTTAGAAAAATGGCGTGGTACAAAAAAACGCCGTAATTTTTTTGAGGATAGTATATATTCTATTGATATAAAAAAAATAATGTGTAGCATTCCTGTGTAAATTCTCAGGGTAGCACTTTTCATTGACTTTGTGGAGCACTCACTTGCTGTGTGTCATCATATAAAATGGCTTAACCACTATATAGATTAAGGTGGAAGTTTGGACAAAACCACTGTTAATGTGTAGCCGAGCTAGAGCAGGTCTGTCTCCTGAAACTCTTGATTTGAAAACTACTAAGCAGACAGAAAACAGTCTGTACAAGGGGGGGTTATGGTCACTTCTTTTAATTCTTCTAATCGCTAACATCTACTTAAATATCCCCAAAGAGAAATTGTAATTTATGTGCTGATGACACTGTGATGAAATGTACAGCCGACATCCCAATCCGGACAGTTACCCAGTTACAACTACATTTTAAAATGCAGATAAACCTTTAAGATTAAAAACCCCTTCTGAGGTCATGCATCCCTGAAACACCAAGGAGAAATCGCACCACCTGGCCCAAATTGTCATCTTGCAGGGTTCACACATTGAGTTTGTGACATGCACATTTTTTTTTTCGTTTAATCTATTAATCTGTCTTTTACTCTGCAGCAGCTGCTAAAAAGATTAAATCAGAAGTTTAGATTTCAATGTTAGGATAAAATGAAAATTTCTCTTGAATCTAAAAAAAATGGTCGCCATCTGTAAAACACGGATGACTCAACTTAGACGCTTTGTTCTCTGGATGCTGTGTATCACTGAGCCTTGAGGTTCATCACAAGTTCCAGATCACTAACTCATCATTGTTTGTTGTATAAACACATTGGTTGGTGCTCATTGTCTTTGAAGAGGCTGAGACACTGGCATGTAACTATTTACAAAGCCCTCATCGGTCTTCTTCCCTCTTAGATCCCAACTCTTCTCCATCTGAAGAGTTCAGGTCAATACTGCTTTTGCTCTTGGGGGTTTTATTGTTTTTAGAACTGGAGATGAGAATTGAAATGGAGAAAAAAAGTGTTTCATGACTTGGTCTGAATGGATGCCTTTAAGAAAACATTTGATGACATCTATCTGTAAATGTTTTGCTTGCTTTGAGGACTTTAAATTAGCCAGATCAGCTTCAGATTTTTTTATGTGTGAATCTGCTGCTATCCTAGACAGGCGACAAGGCTGTTTGAGTTTTGATCAGGTTTGATGACAAAGTTCTGACTTTCTAACATGACCCATTCCAGCATTAATAGTACTGATTGCATCTCCCCACCCATGAACTTAAGATCTTTCTCTGAAAAAAATAATCTGCTATTCATTTAGATCCTTATCATTTCAAGCAAACAAATTGTAGTTAATACTGTAGGTTTTATGAACTGTAGCATTACCTAAAAAAATAAACCAGAGGGACATCCCTTATCCTAATTAAACCACTATTTTGTACAACATTTATTTTTTTAACTTAAAAGGATAAAATAGGAAATTATTAGATGTTAAAATTGCACTGCAATATTCTTATCTCAGTAGGTTGTGTTGATGGCTGTAGTTCCCTAGAAAACATGTTTCTCCTCTTATATTACTGTATCTGTGATCTGTAACTTTAACATTTTACCCCCATTAGCTATTTCTAGCTAACTCTATTTATCAGAGGAATATTTGGATAACTTTTTTCTTATCTGTTTAATTTCTCTTTAAATTATTTTACAAACTCTTGTGTCCTTCACTTACTTTTAACCTTTTTGCAAATGTCAGCCACCGCAACTATAGATATCATAAGAGAGCTAAAAACAGTCATTTACGATGTTCCTACTGAAGCGAGGACAGGCATCTTTGGATCATTACCCAGTTGCCAAATCAGCAGTGTAAATGCTCCGTTTATATGTGGATCAACTTTCCGGCATTTACACACACACTGCAACGGCACATAGCTGCTCAGATCACACCTGTTATCCAGCATACTGCACTCATCCTGCTAGAGAGAACTGGGGGGTGATAGGGTGGTGGTGGGGGGGTTCACATGGAACACAGACGTTGTGCTCGATTTGGATTTACAGCGAATAGGCCTACAAAAATATGAGGACGGTTAAAACAGGAAGCTCCCTCTTTTGAACGGAAAATTGTTTTTCCTGTTTAGAGATTGTTTCTGCACCTTGACCCTGGAATAAAACCAAACCTCTCCAAATATGAAAAGAAACATTTTGTTGAGCTCCATTTATATTCACCTACAGCACAAGTCTATCAACCTACATGTTAGAGTGACAACATTGGCCCACTTTGCCAACTTGAAGTTCTTTTAAATTAACCAGATTATTAAAAGGTATTTTGTCTACAGTCCTCTTCAGCTGACCAGACTGACACTTTTTCAAATTTAGGTCCTCATCCTGCTGCTTTCTAAGAACCTGAGCTTTCCCTAAATTAAGTCATGTTATTTTTTTGAGCTGACTGACTCCCTAGTCCAGATTTGTACAACACTGGGGACTGCTGGCACCTACAGAACAGTACTATCAGCCTAGACAGCCTCCTTATGTGTCACCATCATATCTCCAAATATTTATGACTGCCTTTACCGTGTCACACATTAGCTAACGCAGAATCTGTTTATTTCTACAGGGTCTCCAGCAGTTAAGTCAGGTTTACTCTGGACAGGTTGCCAATCTGTCACATGGCAACCAGATACACACAGAAAACAATACACACACACACACACATTTATATCCAATGATGCTGTGGAACCAAACTGAGAACCTTTATATATTTCAGTCTTTATTTATGGTTGATAAGATACCACATAGGTGTAGTTTTTACTTACTTTTCAGAACGTTTGTTTGAATATTTTGCAATAAAATAGATAGAAGTTATTTTGAAGATGCATTTTATGCGAAACAATATTTCCCCTGACTGATTCCAGAAAGCAAAGACATTGTTCTTTTTATACAAAAAAGAGAATATTTATGATTTTAAACATCTTAGCATCCTTTAAGTCATAAAGAACTGTTGAAAATTCAGCACCCCCAAATTTAAGATGAAAGGATTTGATGAATCTTCTTGGCCCATATAGACTCAACAAACACAAAGTCCCAGAATTTGGCACAAGCAATTTGAAAGGACTGAGGAATTAGAAAATAACTGACAGAATAAGCTGTCCCTGTCTTACCTCTACATAGTCATTCAGGACATTCCGGTCAATGCAGGAGTTGTTTGACAGAAAATCCAGGGTTTTCTGCATCAGCACCGTATGTTCTTTCTCCTCTAAAGGAGCCTCCAAGGAGCGGAACACCAACGCTCCAAGCACCAGGTAAAGGAGCACCCCGGTGAAGATAACGAGTAAAGTTGAACAGCGCATGGCCACACCGCCACTCAGCCCAAACTCAGTCTGCTGCCTCTCTGTGCCTCCTTCAGCTCTGACGGGGCCTCGATCCCAGCTGATCCAGCTGAAACATCAGCAACCACAGAAGCACACAGATTATCAACTAACCACAGTGTCTGAAAGGGACTCTGACTGCCCACATGCCTGCAGCAGACAGTCAGTTATATTAGCTGCACCAGGCATTAAATCAACTCAGGCTGTTGTGTACTGCTGACACACGGGAGATGGAACAACTGAGATAAAAAACTGTCCTCTGGCCTGCCTGATGACACTCTGAACAGATGTCATTGTGTGGGTGTCTGTGAAACACACATGATGCATGTCATGAATGCACGAACAGATCAAACTCACCTGTCTGTCCTCTTTATCTGCCCACTCCTCGGTCTTTTCCGTTCCTTCTTTGCATCTGCTCTGATGATGGAGTCCCTGGATCCGTAACCATTAAGGAACTCGTCCCCCTCACACTCTAAGGAAGGGGACACTGGAAAGCATCGCCACAAAGACACATAAAATCCCAGAAAATTAGAGCCAATCCAAACCGGACTGCTCCCTCCTCTTATGTATAGAGCTAGTGGCAGCCGAGGCAAAGCTGTGAAACTTTACTCAGACTGGCTCATTATTCTACAGAGGATGCAGATTTCTCCTCTTCATTAGTCGAAAGAGAAATATTTGAAAGAACAGGTTTGGTACAAGGATGCTGATCATCACTGTTGGCTCGGATCAAGAGGGCACTCTCTTTTATTAAATCCAAAACTGGAGGATGTGACTCTGCACCAGTCCACCTTTGATAAACCGAAAAAAGTTATTGTTTCCTTAGATTCTAAATTAAAAAGTAAAGAATGAATTGATCTACAGATAAGTTCTCCCTGAATGCTGGGATTACAATCCACAATTTGATTTGTGTTGCTGCATTCTGAGAAAACAAACAGAAACTGTTTATTGAAGTTTAGAGATTGGAGTTCTTTAGTCAGCAGATCGCTTTGGTCCTGGTCCAAATTTGGAGCCATAAACTGCCACATAGTGACAGCCAAATAGACGTGCACTCCAACCAGGTTTACAGCTGCTGGGAAAACAAATGTGATGTGCTTTCAGATATAAGTACATCACAGCCAAATGTCGATGAAACAGGTTGAACAAATGCACACCTCATCAGAAATGATAAAAACACATTATACTGATTTGTTAAAACATACCTAATAAAAACCACAGTGGTAATCTCATTATTTAACTACTCTGCATCACATTTAAAACCTTGAGTCTATGAACAATTAACCAAAGTCTTTGGTTACAAATGATATGCATTTTTCAAGCGAATAAACACCTCAGATTTAAAAGCACTCTTGCAAACACTTGACAGTAGGAAACAGCATTAAGTGCCAACAGGGTTGCTGCAGCAGTGCAAACGCAGCCCCTACATAACGATCCGCTTTTATTGCCACTTAGGAGCCCATTCGAAATCTATACGATTTGTCCTGACCGATGCTGCAGACGCTTTAACTCTTACCTCAGACTTAAGGATCTTCAGGAATCCAGAGCAGCAGTAACAACCATGCAGCCCGTCACATGAAGTTCAAACAGCCGCATGCAGACAAGCGTGTTTGAGGAGGGGCGTTTGTGTCGAGCACACCACAGAGGAAAAAGGTGCTTGATCAGATGGACTTTTTATATAGAGTGAGAGAGGGAATCAAAGAGAAAGCTTGGAAACTTAAAGCGACATGCTGTTGGTTTGGGTTTGTTTGTTTTTTTCTTTTCACAAAAGTCATACTAAATTATTTTTTTTGCATAAATCTCGTTTAACTTTGAGCTAAGCTGCAACATAATATCAGGATTGAGTTGAGTCAAGCTTCAGTACATTGGTTTATCTGTGCTGTGTTTATTTATTTGTGTGTTTAAACCCTATGCAGTCCAAACATGTTTGTCTAGCTAGGGAGTCTAAGCCCTGGGTCTTCTGCAGAGATTTTTCGAGTTCCAGCCCTTGAGCCCAGTGAGACCTCGCCAACATACACAAGCTTACATTCATGCTATTTTTGGCTCATCTGGAGTCAATCCAAAGTTTCATTCATCAGTCTTTAATGTCATACTCCATTTTGATAGTTGGCGAACCATCCCAGCGGCAACACTATGGCCACACATACAACGCCTTGCAAAGATATTTACACCCCTTGACTTCTAGTGTTTTTATTTAAATTAAAACAACCAACTTGTGTGTTTTATTGGGTTTTAATGTGAAAGTCCAGGGGTCAGTAACCTTTAGAACCTAAAGAACCATTTTGTCCTGAGTCTAGCAAAAGTGGTTGATCAGAGCCTCAAATATTATATGATTTCTTTGATAAAAGTCTAGTTATTGTTACATAAATTGAAATAGTAATGTGTTGCTAATTAAAGAACAAACATTTTCTTTGTTTTTTTATATAAGAATAAAGAAATACAAAAAATTTTAAATTTAATGAGAAAAACCAGACCTAAAACATATTACTGGTTCTTTAAATGTCATTTTGTTGTGAAAACTTATTTTAGTTATTCGTTTAAAAAACCATTAAAGCTTCTCAAACTGCCATTTGTTATTGTACTATATTTAAAATCATTGCTTGGTTGGCCGTGCTTCTGTGGTGCAGTGGTTAGTGAACACGACCCATGTACAGAACACGACCCTCTAGTGCCATAAAAACTCACAAAACATAAGACATTGCTTGATTATTTATCATTCCCTGCATGATTAAGATAAATTTTCATTTAAAAAGGTTTCACTTTTTTTATGCACCTATAGCTGCACATCCCTGTGTGTTGATATCCAAAGATTTTTTTTCAGTCTTCCTTGCAAAATGACTAAAGCTCAGTCAGATTTAATGTAAGGTGTCTTTTGCCATCATTCTTCAAATCTTGCCACCACTTCTAAATTTTATTTGGGTATAGACTTTGACTAAGCCCTTTTAAACCTTTAAACCCGAGAACATGAAATAATTGTCAGAAAATTCTACCTTTTTATGATTAGAATTATGATTGAATTTCTGACAAATGAAATAAAAATACATACATTTTGTTAAATTATGTGATTTATTTGCATCAATTTTGATACAGTGGGAATTTCTGTATAATATTTTATGGGTTTTCTGCTCATTACATGTGTCTCATTGTGTAAATCTGGGTTTTCAAGAAAGAAATATCACACTGATCATGCAGAGGTCTCAAAGACTCATGTATCAAATATTAAACACTTGGCTTTTGTCATGATTGCAGCCCAGATAGCTGATCTAATTACCCACTTCATTCACCTGCTTAGCCCTCCCCGCTTTCTAATTATCATTTGTCTTATTCACTTTCTTCCTCTGCTATATATACGTTTCAGCCCAGCTATCGGGGCCAGATCATTATTCTTGTATTCTTAGTTTATTCATTTATTTGTTCCTTCATGTCAGTTATTTATGTTTGTTTCATGAGACTTAAGTCCCTGGTTCATGTCCTGACTCTTGGGGGCCAGTGGACTGAGAGGGTTTGGTGTTTGTCTCCTCTGTCCTGGTCATGTCCCGGCTCTTCTCCGCGGATCCCTTAGGGTTTTGGCACGGAACGCAGGGGAGGTCAGTTTTAATTCCTATGAGCCTGGCTCCAAGGTGGTGACCAGTTTAAAGTTCGGCATTTATCCTGGTACCAAGTCTTGTCTATGTTCCTCTATACCACTGAGCCTGCCTGTTTTCATCTGCATGGGTTTGTCTGAGCACGCTGCTGCACTCATAGAACTCTGAACCTGCCTAAACACTCCAGCAACCCTGGATCTGTCTTTACCTGTTTGGATCAGAACCCCTGGTCAGGCTAAGGACTCAAAGATCTCGGAACTGTCCGGTTCTGAACTGTTTCTCTGACCTGGACTGGTCTCCTACCTGCTCACTGGGTTTGCTGCATCGGGACATTTTGGACTGCTCTGGTCATCTCGTTTGGCAGTCCATCGGCAGGATCGTGACTTCCTCGGAGAGGATGGAGTGACCTGTTAAACCAGAGTGCCCGAGATTGGTATCGCCCCATCCCCCTGCCGCCGCTGTGGTCCGCCCTATCCTCAGCAGCCCTTGTTTCTGTTCTGTTATATTATTTCTCTGCTATTAAAACATTTTGAAACTTCCCATTGTCTGACTCGCCTTGAATATTGGGTCCATCTGTCCCGTTTATGACAGTTTTAAAGGGTTAACTTTTGATTAAGCTTTTATGTGCACTTTGCAGATCCCTTTATATTTAGGGTGTTTCTGTGGAAAGGCAATAGAACCCCTAACCCAGATGGCCCGTCTCAACTCCCAGGATTACTCAGTTTTTGGCTCATTCCATTTTCTTACCAACTCTGACCAGCTTAAATGTCCTTATTGAAGAAACTCATCTTCACAGCATAAAGCTAATGCCCGAATTTATCACACTGGTGTTACTTATTAGTTTTTCTTGCATTTCACAATTACATTTCATGTTTATGTTGACCTATAAATCACATATTTCCCAATCAAGTAATAACTGCCATACTGACAGTTATTTCTCTGGAATCTATAGACCTCTGTTAGTCTAGTTCTGGACCCTCTATGTGGTCCCTTATTAGGTCATACTTCCACAGAGGCAGAAGCATCGTCTGTGACTATATTGTATAGACACATCATAAGACAAGCAGGTTTATCCATCCTAGCAATAGATTAAAGTCTATTTCGAATCTAAGAATCAAAAGGCTTTGTTCTTCTCCAGTCTTTAAAAGAGAAGGAGAGGGTAGTGTCACGGCCCCTGGGTTTTAGGGTTTGTTTTTAAGCTTATTTTAGCTTTTATAGTTATAAAGATTCACAATAACGTTCTGGCTTTTCGCTTCTAAAGTTTGTTCTGCAATCCTTTTCCCTAAACCTTATTTTTTGTAACTTCAGCTGCTCTATGAACTATGGCCCTTCTTCTTTTTAAAAATATCTTTTTCTCCCTGGCTCCTGCATGTCTGCCTACATTCACAACCTCCCCTCCACCTCCCGCTGGGGACAGATGGTGATTGTACTGTATGAACTGATCAGTTGCTGCTACAAGATAAACAAAACAACATAACCAAACAAAATATGAACATGTTTTCAGAGGCCTGCACCACGAAGCAGGATTACTGGATTACCGAGACAACTTCAGGTTTAACCCTAACTTTCTGTTACCACAAAGCTGGATTCTTTCTTAGCGAGGCTAGTCACCATGGTAACATACTCTAAAAGGCAAAGCTGCTCCGGAGCAGGCTAGCTTTCAGGATTCTGGCATATATATATCCAGACTGAGAAAACCTTTATCGCTCATATTGTCATAGTGATCCAAAGGATCTTCTCACAATTTTTGCACTATGATTTTTATGTTCTTATATAAGCATAGATATTTTTTTTTATTTATCTTCATATATCAGTCATAATAGTAACAAGTGAATACCAGCCATGTATGAGGAGATGATACAGGGTAAATTAAATACAGAATAGTAAAAGGTTAGCATGTCAAAAAATAGGGGAAAAAAACGTTCAATTTGGTTTTTTTAAGTGCTTGTTTTTTTTTTGTTGTGGTGTTGTTTTGTTTAAGTTTTTTTTCCCCCTCTAAATTAAATCGGCTCTTTACTGAAATGGCATGTCATTGTTTCCAGAACAGCTGAGTGGCTGCTGGGTTCAGCGTTTTCTAAGATTCAGATCAATCTTAGCCTAGCCTGACCCAGAGCAGGTCTGACGTTTAGAGTATGTTACCATGGTAACTAGCATAACTAAGAATTAATCCGACTTAGAGGTCCCAGAGAGTGAGGGTTAAACCAATGCCAACCCAATTAACCTACTTCTTTGTACAGGCCTCAGGTGTGGAAGTGCATGGTTTGACTTGTTGACTAGTTTTTTTTGTTTTTTTTGTTTTTTTTTTTTTTGTACTTTAAAGGGCTTTTAATACAAGCTTCGTTGGTTAGACTAAAGAAAAATCAAATGAAAAATGTGGGTTGTTTTAAGAGAACAAAATGAAAAAAACCTAAAACATTTATGCTTAGATGATATCTCTGCTTTTAGGCAAAACTTGTATATTTTAATGACAATGTTAGAATATGTATAAATTCGTACCAGTATGTGTAAAATGAGACTTTAAACTTTGAGTTGCATACATTTTACAGGAAAACAGGGAATGAACATTCAGATGTTAAAAATAAAAAAAACTGATGTTTATCATTAAAAGTGACTGAGAGTCTGGCGTCAAGTTCCGGCTGTTTCACTGTCTTCACATCGGGTTTCAAAACATGCACTTTTAGCTTTGTGTCATCCTGTGAGGCGCTTATGTTTTAACCCCCACCTCCTCCCAGCAATCTAGTAATTTGGTTAAGAAATACTCCATGTCTCGGCAAGTTCTATCCTCACATTTTCTCTAATCCTCACAAATTTAATAACATTATTTACATTTCAGCATAAGCTTTTTGCACCCTTCAACAAGCTGCTGGTATTTATCTGGCTGAATATATGGCAGCATAGTCTTTGAAGATCTTAAACTAAGAAAGAGACCTTAAAGGGTTTTTTTTAGCTTGTTTTTTTTTATTTCATATACAGTATATATATGAAATGGATGTAAGATTCATCCCTAAATATGAAT